GAGAACAGGGAACTGTCACTGCTGGTGTCCCCAGCACAGGGAGCTGGGCTGGCACTGCTCTGCTGTGCCCAGGGGGTGTGGGGACCTCCCCAGGCTTGTGCCACATCACAGGGAGGCTGTGCCCATGGAATTACCCTGCTCTGGGACACGGACAGTGTCTGCTGAGCTGCAGGGACCTCTCAGCACTTACACCATGTGTATGTTCTTTGTGCCTTCCAGGGGCAGGAGCTGTCACAGCAGGGTCACAGCCCAAGTCTGCGACACACGTTTTTAAGCAAACTCTGTGCTAAGGCTTTGGCTTTCAGTGGCAGGTTCCAGACAGCTGGAGACCAGCTGAGCACCCAGCTGAGCCCTGCCTGGAAAGCCTGGGGGCTGAGAGGAGCCAGGGAGGCACAAAAGCCAAGGAGGAAAAGGGAGAGGAGGGCAGAACAAAGGGGAGCCAGTTCAGCTCCTCAGGCCAGTGCTGCAGACGGGCCCACAGGGAACCTACAGCAGCATTAAAGGACTTTTGTCTACTTTCATCCATGAACACAAACATTTGATTTACTGTTCCCCAATGCCAGGAGACCAAACTGTCCCTGCACTGGACACTCTGGGAGTCACAGCCCCATCTTGCTCCTGTGTTATGGGAGGTTTGGTGTTGCTCTTACCATTACAGCAGCAAGTTACTCTGGGTTTACACACTGCTCAGGTCTACCTGCTCGTTATTCACCCCCATGGCAGACTTTGTAAGGGGTATTTAACAACAAAAATCCTTTAAACTCACATTCTTGTAGCTGTGTAAGACAGAAGGAATTGAAATCAGGCTTACACATGTCCTGCCCAGCCCTCCTCCTCTGGCTTGCAGACTCAAGAGCATGAGTTCTGTCTTTGCTAACTTCTGACTTCCCTAACTACTGAAATCCAGTGGTTCCTGTGACTGCAAGAACTGAAAACTGCTCTGACTGCAGAGAAAATGCTCATTTTCTGGGAGCACAGGGTCTGGATTTGGACATTGTGCTCTGGCAGTGGCCTCATGGCTTCAGCTTGGCTCTGAAGCTCCTGGAACAGCTCCTCGTATCCCCACCTCTGCACAGGGAACTCAACTCACTCTCAGAAATTACGGAAAAGAGTGAAGGATGGCAGAGATGAATCAAAGTCCCTCTTCACAGTGTTTCACTGCTTTTGCTGCTGTGTTCCCAACTCCAGCACACATGGATGTGCATGTTACAGAGCAGGAAATGTAAGGGAACTTCAATCTGAAGATACCTGACCTGTAACTTCACAGGCTGAAGCTGCCCTGCTCCCTCCCAGCCCCACACAGCCCAGGAGGGAGCAGCCAGCTGGACTGGGGAACTGATCCACTTCAAACAGAAGTAGAGCTCTACTTTCAAAAGGATATTTAAGAATATTGTATGTGCTTTATGTATGACAGACACATTCTATGCTTAAAAAAGCATTTAGCTTATCCAGAGCCACCGAATGTGCTGAGTTGGAAGGAACCCACAAGGATCCAGTCCAATCCTGGCCCTGCACAGGACCATCCCAAGAGTCATACCCTGTGCCCCAGAGGATCATCCAAACACTCCTTGATCTCTGGCAGCCTTGGTGCTGTGCCCACTGCCCTGGGGAGCCTGGGCAGTGCCCAACCACCCTCTGGGGGAAGAGCCTTTTCCTGAGATCCAACCTGACCCTGCCCTGACACAGCTCCAGCCATTCCCTGGGTCCTGTCCCTGGTCCCCCCAGAGCAGAGCTCAGTCCCTGCCCCTCCTCTGCCCCTCCCCAGGCAGTTGGAACTGCAGTGAGGTCTCCCCTCAGTCTCCTCTTCTCCAGCTGAACACACCAAGTGCCCTCAGTGTCCTCACACGGCTTCCCCTCAGGGCCCTTCCCCATCTTCGTTGCCTTCCTTTGGACACTCTCTAATGGCTTCAGATCTTTCCTATATTGTGGTGCCCCAAACTGCCCCAATATTGCAGGTGAGCAGAGCGGGACAATCACATTGAATATTCCTAAATCTCTTGTGCTTTGGCCAGTTCTGCTGCTCAGTTACGGAGACCCTGAGCCAGCGTCAGGCAGAGACCTTGCCTGTGTCAGGCAGAAGAACCCTCCCCCCGAGCCCCCAGCCCGTCCTACCTGCCCGTCCGAGTCGTACCCCCAGCCGCGTGTGCCGGCCCTGCCGTCGGCCTCGCGCCGGACCCCGCTCAGGACGAAGTGCCAGGCGCGGCTGCTGCGCGGGCGCCGTGCCATGGTGCTGCCAGACAGGTAGGCTGGGGAGAGGGACAGGGTCACACAGGGCTGCCCATCCCACCAGGGCCACCCCCAGGCTGTGCCACCCCCCCCCCGTAACCAGCCACATCTGCGCGGCCTCAGCTGATCCGAAGGAGGCTCTGTCCCCATCAAGAGCCTCTGCAAACCTCAACCTGCTGCTCTGGGCAGGCTCAACTTCCCCCTCCCCCGAGCCCAGTGTTGAAATGGCCCCCCAGAAATGCTCCCGAGAGCCGGCAGTGGCAGCAGCTGCCCCTCTGCAGGGCATGGATCCGGCACCCACGGATCCAGCTCCCCCTCTCCTGGGGAGCCTCAGGGATGTCAGAAGCACAGAAGGGTTTGGGTTGGAGGGACCGTAAAGCTCATCTCGTTGCACCCCCTGCCATGGGCAGGGACACCTTCCATCGGAGCAGGCTGCTCCATGACACAGCCTGTGACCCTCGGGCAGTGTCCTGGCTCTGTGCCCCTGCACTGCCCCGGCCCCCCCACAGCCCCTGTGTGGGTCTGTCTGCGGGAAGTGTTTGTCCATCTGCAGCTGGGGAAGGAACACTCTGCTCTCAGCATTTCGGGCAGTGGAGAAACCACTTTCCTTCTCACTGGAGGGAACCCAGCCTTGTCACAGACCTGTCCAGACTTGCCTCAAGGGAACAGACAGAAGGGAAGATGCTGATCAGATTTCCAAAGGCCCCTTCCCTGTGCACATCCTGACAGCTCACACCAGCCCCAGCCACCACACAGGAGCACTGCCCTGGATGTGACAGGGAAACTTCAGCTTCCAATCTTTCTCTGAAATTTATCTTTGCAGGGATCAACTCCCCACCAAGAGGCACCCAGGGGTGTAAACCCTCATCCCTCCCCTGAACCTGCTCCCTCGGCTCAGCCCCTGGGGCTGTGGATCCTGTGGACCTGCAGTGGATCAGCCCCGAGCCAGGGCTGCCATAAAGCTCCTGTCCCTGCTCTTCCTGTGCCTCAGTCCTGACTTGGACCAATAGCTCCTGGAAAAACAGGACAGGACAAGCCATGGCCAGTTGTGCAGGTGCCCTTGGGTGCTCTGAAGGGCCCTGGGCATCCCACCTGCCGAAATCAGAGGGCTTACACCCCTGCCAAGCACAGCCATGGGGGAAGCACCTACAACCACACCAGAAACTCTCTCCAGCTCTGAACAGCACCCACGGCAGCCCAACAGCACGCTCTGCTCCCCCAGCCCCTTGCTAAGGTTGGGGCTCCCTCACAGGGCCTGACCACCCTTTCAGGGAAGAAATTTTCCCAATATTCATCTAAACCTCCTCTGACATAGCTTGAGGCCGTTCCCTCTCCTCCTGTCCCTTGTTCCCTGGGAGCAGAGCCTGACACCCCTGGCTCCCCCCTCCTGTCAGGGAGTTGCAGAACCAGAAGGTCCCCCCTGAGCCTCCTTTTCTCCAGGTTGAGCCCCCCCAGCTCCCTCAGCTGCTCCTGGTGCTCCAGACCCTTCCCCAGCTCCGTTCCCTTCCCTGGACACGCTCCAGCCCCTCCATGGCTTTCTTGTTATGAGGGGCCCAGCACTGCCCCCAGGGCTGGATGTGCCTCAGCAGTGCCAGCACAGGGTCGGGGCCTGCTGCCGCAACAGTGCCAATACAAAACATCCCTCACCCCTGAGGGGCCCCGGGCCCGCCGAGGCCTCTCCGTGGGCCGGAACCGGGACCGCACGGCGCCCGCTCCCCGCCCAGCGCTTCCCCACGCCCGGCCCGCCCCGGCCCCCTGACCGCGGGGCAGCCGCTCCGCTGAGAGCGGCACCGTAGCCCGAACTGTGCCGGCACCTGAGGCGCGGCCGGGCCGGGCCGGGCCGGGCCAGGCCACCGCGCTCGGGCCGCACAGCCCCGGCCTGGCCTGAGCCCAACCCCGGCCCTCGGCTCCCACCCAGCCCCGATCCCCGACCTCGACCCCCGATCCCAGCCCCGATCCCGACCCCGATCCCCAATCGCCAATTCCCGATCCCAATCCCGATGCCGGCTCACCCTCCCGGCCGGTCCCGGCGCCGCTCTGACCCACTTTCTCCTCCCGGGACATAAACAATCCCCTCCCGGCACCGCCCCTCCGGCGCCCATTGGCTGCGGCCGCGCCGCACCGCCCTGCCATTAGCTGAGCGCCCCGTCACTCACAACCGGAGGAGGAAGGAGGGGCGGTGTCTGAGGGGAGCCCCACACTATTGGCTGTGCTGTGTGTCAATCATCAGCGAGCAGCACCATTTGGAGGCCACTAGCGAAGGAAAGCACTAAGCCCATTGGCTGGCGGAGGAGGAATCAGAGAGCTGGATTGGCTGTAAAGCTCTGGGGGCGGGTTCACCGGTGAGAGCGAGATCTGCGATTGGGCACGGAGCCTGCCAATCTGAGGGGGCGGGGCTTGCAGCCGGTGGAAGGCGGAAGTGGGCGGGGCGGGCCGGCGGCATGGACGGGCCGGGCGGTGAGCGGGGCCCGGGGGCGAACGGGAGCAGGGAGGGAACCGGCACCGCGGGGCAGAACCGGGCCTCGGCAGGGAGCGGGGCCCCGGGGGTCCGGGCCTTGCGGGGGCTGACCGGGCCCAACGCGGGGTCGGGACTCGCTCCCGGGGAGCTCCGCGGTGCTCGGGCCGGGCCGGTGCCGCAATGCTGGGCCCGGGTCCTGGTGCCGGGAGCCCCCGCCAGGGCCTCGCCGCTAGGGCAGCGCCGAGGAACTACAGAGTAACAGCTGCTGCTGGCAGCTCTGGGATGCCGAGAGCGCCGCGGAGCCCCGGCCCCTCCCCGGCCCCCTTTTCCCCCCTCCCCGTCCTGGCCCCGGGGCTGTTACCGTCGGCGGAGGCGCGGATGAGCTCGGCCATGGTGCGGGCGGGCTCCATGCCCCGGGCCCGGCGCGGGCAGTCGGTGCCGGTGGGACTCGGGCCCGTGAGTCGGTGGCGTTGCCCGGCGGTGGCGGGAGCCCCGGTCCGACCCGCTGCCCCGAGCGCTGCCCGTCCCGGCCTCGCGCTGGTCGGACGCGGGGACTGAGCCCAAAGCGGAGCCCCGGGAGCACTGACAGCACACAGGGAACGGCTGGGAGGCAGGACAGGAGCGTGGGACTGGCAGGAAGCGACTGGTGTGACACTAGAGGAAGGAAACGCCAAGGGCCTGAGCTCACCCCAGCCCAGGGCCGAGCCTGACTTGCCCCCGGCGGTGTTTAGTGCTTTGCTGCCCAGTTGCCGCTGAGGTCATCGGGACAAGCCGATTCCTTATGGAATATTCACTGCCATTGTCTTATTGTCCCTTTTCTAATGGCAGAAGGGCTGTGGCACATACAGCTCTTCTTTCCCTCTCACGCTGAGGGCAGAGCTCAGCGGGGGCTGCATCTTCCCCAGAGGGGCAGCACCGACCTCTGCTCTGTGTGACTAGGGAATGGCTGGAGCTGTGTCAGGGCAGGGTCAGGTTGGATCTCAGGAAAAGGTTCTTCCCCCAGAGGGTGGTTGGGCACTGACCAGGCTCCCCAAGGCAGTGGGCACAGCACCTGGGCTGACAGAGCTCAAGGAGTGTTTACAATGCTCTTGGGGACAGGATGGGGCTGTTGGGATGTCTGTGCAGGGCCAGGGATTGGACTGGATGATCCTTGTGGGTCCCTCCAGCTCAGAATATTCCATGATTCCATGATACACTTAAAGCAGACTTGCTGGGGCAGTGACAGCCACTGTCAGCTCAGCAGAGCCTGTGGCAGGGGCTGCTATCTCTCAGCAGAAGAAACTCTGATGCCTTCTTATCTTTCCTCCCAGAGAGAAGCACCAACCTGCTGGGGGTGAGGCACATCGTGCTGGTGCTGTCGGGGAAGGGCGGGGTGGGCAAGAGCACCCTGAGCACGGAGCTGGCCCTGGCACTGCGGCACCGCGGGCACAGGGTGAGTGGGGTGGGGGAGCTCTGCCTTCCCCTTCCCAGCCTCCAACTGGGCTGGGCTGGGCTCTGCTTGTGGTGTGTGTGTCCTGTGTGGGCTGCCTGTGCGTTTTCTGTTTGTGAGAGTGCTTCGAGTGATTCTTCTGTGTTTGCAGGTAACTGGGTTAGGTAAGTGAGTTCATTTCTCTTTTACCCAAGAGACTAAAATCACCCAAAATTTACTGTTGGGTTTGAAGCTGAGGCACTGAGAAATTACGTTGCTGGTTTGTAAGTGTAACACCCACTCCCTCTGGGGGGTCAAGTGGGTGAGCTGAAGGACACTGTGACAATGGGGACAAAAGAGAACTGTGTGTGCACGAGACAGGCTGAATTCCCTGAGGGTCTTTTTAAAGGCTCTGTGCAGCCAATGCCACTTGGATTCTGGCATAAAGTGCTTGGAAACACCCAGGAGATGTTCCTGGGGGGAAGGAGGCCGGGAGTGCAGTCAGATCTAAAGCAGTTCTTTGAAACTGTGTTTCAGATCTGGCTGTGAGCAGCCCAGCTTTGGGGGCTGCCTCCCCCTGCCAGGGAAGGAGCCTGGGAGCTCCGAGCCCACCCGGGCTGAAGGGCTGTGCTGGTCCCACAGGTGGGGATCCTGGACGTGGACCTGTGTGGGCCCAGCATCCCCCGCATGCTGAGGGTGCAGGACAGGGCTGTGCACCAGTGTGACAGTGGCTGGGTGCCCGTGTTCGTGGGCCAGGACAGGGCTGTCGCCCTCATGTCCATCGGCTTCCTGCTGGAGCGGCCGGACGACGCCGTGGTGTGGAGAGGACCCAAGAAAAACGGTAATGGTGGAGTTTGGGGCTGGGGAAACCTTCTCTGAAACCTTCTGTGAACCCTCCTGGAGGTGCTGATGCCTCCTGGTCATGTCATTCCTTGTGGCAGTGAGGCTCCTGTTCTGCAGGAGTGGGTTCAGCTCACTCAGGTGGGGAGAGTGCAGCGTGTGTTGTGCTGACAGATCACCCTGCCCCCTGTCCCTGTGTCCTTGTCACCCAGGGTGCTTCCCAAGCCCTGTCCCATGGCTCCCAGGGCACCTGTTGTGTGGGTTTTTATCTGCCCCTTTTATTTCATAGCTTTGATCAAACAGTTTGTCACCGATGTGGCCTGGGGGGACCTGGATTTCCTCATCGTGGACACCCCGCCGGGCACCTCTGACGAGCACATCTCCACCGTGGAGGCCTTGAGGCCTTACAGGCTGCTTGGAGCGATCCTGGTCACAACACCCCAGGTAGGACAGGGGGCTGGAGTTCCTGGGTGGGCACCCGCCTCTGGGAGTGGTTTGGGGGGCAGTATGCCCCCCAGGTGGGTGTTTCCACATCCTGTCTGTGGCTGCTTGTTCTACACATCCGCCTCCCACTTGATTTCCACTGCTCTGGACCCCCAGCTGTGGTGGACAGAGGGCCACCCCCGTTTCCGTTGCTCCCCCAGGCCGTGTCGGTGGGGGACGTGAGGCGGGAGCTGACGTTCTGTAAGAAGACGGGGCTGCGGGTCCTGGGCGTCGTGGAGAACATGAGCGGCTTCGTGTGCCCCCACTGCTCCGTGAGCTTCCTCACCCTACTGGGACCCTGGGGCTGCTGGGGGCCCTTCCTTGGGGTGGGGTGTCCTGGCAAATGCCATGAGGGTGATGCTGTGAGCCAGGGAGGGGAGGTGCTGCCGGGTCTGTGTGCCAGCTTTGGGAAAAGCCACTGGCTCTGCTCTCCTGAGGAGAACTGGCACAGGCCCTGAGGGTGGAGGGTGGGGAGGAGCTGGCTCTGCTCAGGTGATGCAGCACCTCCTCTGTCACACAGGGCTCTGGAATTCATGACTCCCTGCTGTTCTTCCTCCTCCAGGAGTGCACAAACATCTTCTCCAAAGGCGGAGGGGAGGAGCTGGCCAAGCACGCTGGGGTGCCCTTCCTGGGTGAGTGACCTCTGGAGCAGAGCTCTGCTCAGGGGTGATCTGGTGATGCTGTGGGATTGTGGAGTGCAGAGAAGCAGCATCACAGGGCAGGTGGGCTGGACTCCAGTCCCCATGAGCCCCAGGCAGAGCTGGGGTCTGGGTTGTGCTTTGCTCCTCTGCCACCCAAACTGCTCCCTGTGGGCACCTGGCTGGGGCAGAGGGGGTGGTGCCAGCAGCCTGCTGTGGCTGCTGACATCATGGTGACGGGGTAAACAAGCCTGGAGCTGCCCAAGAACCATGTTGGGGTGTCTTGGAGCCTCCCTGACAAACGGGGGCTGAGGGCTGAACCCTGCCCCTGGAAGGGCTGGGATCAGGGGGGAAAGCACCTCTCCTGAAGCACTGGGGTGTGGTGGGGTCTTGGACCCAGAGGAAGCAGTTGCAGGTGACAATTAGCTCCTGGAGAGCTCTTCCCTACTGATTCTGCTGGAGCTGACTCTGGCAATGTGTTTATTTAACCCTGACTCCAGACCTTTGCCATACAAGGAGCAAGCACTCACTCTCCCACTCCTGTCCCACAGGCTGTGTTCCCCTGGACCCCCAGCTCAGCCAGAGCTTGGAAGAAGGCAGAGACTTCATCCAAGAGTTTCCCAAGAGTTCTGCCTTCCCTGCCTTGGCTCACATCGCCCAGCAGATCTTGGATACATCACAGCAGAGCTCCTGAGAAGGTTGTGGAGCTGAACTGTTCCCGGCTGAGCCCTGGGCCAGCTGGGACGGGGGATGCAGGAGCTGGTTAAGTCTGAAACTGTCTCACTGAGGGCTGAGGGAGGGAAGGGAAGTACAGGTTCCTGCTGTTCATGGCAGTTCCAAAAGGGAAGTACTGCTCCATCCCCCTGGATCCAAAGAGACTCTGGAGCTGCAGTGGCAAGTGGTTGTTCTTCCCTCAGTGAACCCACATGACACCGATGATCCAGATCATGGCTCCGTGTGCTGCTGCCTCCCCCTGCTCTCCCTGTGGGATGGATTCCACGGTACTTGGTTCAGTGATGGATTACAGGTTCTTGGTTCAGTGGCTGAGTCATGCTGGATGCTCCATGTGGACCCAAGCCAGGCCCCTGTGCTCGCTGGTTCCTGATGAGGACACGGCTACATGTGAGGGAACATCTCCAGGAGCTCTCCCACCTGTGAGATCTGCATCCCATCGTGCTGGAAACAAGCCCTTGGGTCTGTTGGGGGTTATATGGCTCAGGAATATCTTTGAAGGTTCCAGGCAGTAAACACTTTTCTTAAATCCAAGTCTGTGACTCCTGCTTTTCCATGGCTTCAGACCTCGCTGTAGGTCTGAGTCTTGGCATTGTGAGCACTTCATGTACATCCAGGTACTTCCTGCTTTCCCCTGGTTTTCTTGCTGGAATTCAGCTAAATCCCTTCTTCTGTAACAGCTTCAGGATCCAGCCTGTCCCTTGTCTCACTGTGGGCTGGCCCTGGCAGTCCTTTTTGGGATCATTTGCCGTGGGTGTTCTCCACCCCCCTGCCACACGTGGGGCTCCTCCGTGTCCCCAGGTGGTTTCTGCTTCATTGCTCCGAGTGTCCTGTTCCCTGGACCTCTTTCCATGGGCTGCTGCTCCCCTGGGACCTGCCCTCCTCATGCAGGCTTGAGTTAAGCTGGGGAAGCAAATGGAAGTGGTGGCCTTGCATCTTATCACCCTCTCCTGGACTCTGAGCCCCTCCTGCCTGCCTCCCTCCCCATGTTGGGACTCGCCCTCACAGTGAAGTCCCAGGAAGACGGGGAAATGTATTCCCACTAACCAGACTGGATTATAGCAGGCAGCCATTGCTTGGAGGAGAGCAGGAGCACCATCCCACCCTGCTCCCACTGTGCCTGTGGGACCCGCACCTGACCAGGTTTCCCCATGTGCAGTTTTCCAGGAAAATTTTACCTGACCTTTGAACGCTTCTCTGGGATTTGAAGAGCCAGGAGCAGCGCTGGAGTCTGACAGGGCTGTTGGCTTCTGGGGGATGGCCAGGCACCTCTTGCTCCCTCTCTGGGCGCGTGTCACCCACCCAGAGCTTGTGGGAAACGCTGTGAGCTCCTGACCCCCACCCAGGCTCTGCACCCCTCACCCTGAGCGGGCTCTGGGGAGAAACCCCAGCTGGGGGTCACGAGCTGTGGAACAAATGAACTTCCAAGAGGGGTTGCAATAGCTCCAAAGGTTTATTTGTCTGCTGCCATTTATCAGGTGAGTGACGTGTGCCTCTCTGCTGCTGCAAGGAATCATTCCAGCAAGTCCTCTGTCCCCTTCCCTGAGCTCGAGGGGGCTTTTAGGATTTCTCCACAGCTCCGTGGCAGGAGGATGCTTTGTTTTGTCCCACACGAGTCCTGGCCCAGGCAGGGATGCCCCTTGTGGGGCGGGGCAGCATTCCCCCATCTTGGAGGCTTAGAGATGTTCCCACTGGGAACAACTGGGGGCTGCTATTTAAATATTAAAGGGCTGAAGTATTCAGTTTGAAGCCCAGGAGCTGCTGCCCATCCAGCATTGCCTGGGCTTGACTCTCCTTGTGGTGGCAGCTGGAGGTGGTGGCAAAGCTGGGCTTGTCTGGGGTGGCCACAGACCCCCAGCTCCTGCTGCTGCCCCGGGACAGGGCAGGGAGGTGGCAGGGGAGGATCCCCCATCGGGAACGGCTCATCCCCTGGGAGGGGCCAGCCCAGCTCAGCAGTCAGCAAGGCTCTCCTCGGTGGTGTCCCGCAGGTCCAGCCCTGCCAGGGCCGGGGGGTGCAGGCAGGTGAGGTTGTTGTAGGTGTACACGGGCACCTGGGTGTCGTCCCCCTCGGCCACCGACTGCACGAAGCGCGGCACCACGGCCGGGTGCTGCAGGGAGAACTCCCGCAGCCCCCTCAGGGAGCAGTTGCAGTGCCAGTTGTTGCCCCCCAGCCACAGCTGCTCCAGGGTGAAGGGGGGGCACAGGAAGCCCACAGAGAAGGTCTCCAGGGAGTTGTTCCTCAGGCTGAGGTACCGGAGGTTGGCCAGGGGGGAGATGACGGCGTTGTCCAGTGTCTGCAGCTGGTTGTGGGAAAGGTCAAGCCAGAAGAGTCTCTGGAGCGGGCTGAAGGCGTCCTGGGAGATCTCCAGGAGCTGGTTGGAGGACAGGAAGAGGTACTCCAGGTTGCTCAGACCCACGAAGAGCCGGGGGGAGAGGTGGCTCAACCTGTTGTGCTTCAGGTCGAGCTCCAGGAGCTCGTGCAGTTCACTGAAGCTCTGGTCCTCGATGAGGGAGATGCTGTTGTGCTGCAGGAAGAGCCGCCTCAGGCTGGACAGCCCGGAGAAGGTGTTTGCTCGGATCCTGCCCATGCAGCTGTGCTCCAGGTGGAGGCTGTGCAGCTTGGTGACCCCCTTGAAGACAAAGTCAGGGAGGACCTTGATGCAGTTGTCAGACAAGTGCATGACTGCCACGTTGTACAGCCCCAGGAAGGCCCCGGCCCTGATGTCCTGCAGCTGGTTGTTGTTGAGGCTGAGAACCTCCAGCTGCCCCAGCCCCTCAAAGGTCCTTTCCACCAGGCCCCGGATCCTGTTGTGCCCCAGCTGCAGCTCCTCCAGGAACTGGAGGTCTTTGAAGGTCCTGGGCCTCAGGCTGGTGATGGAGTTGGTGGACAGGCGTAGGACGTGCAGGCTCAGGAGGCCCAGGAAGGTGTCCTCGTACAGCGAGACGAGGCGGTTGTGGGACAGGTCCAGCCACCGCAGGGCCTTCATGCCCATGAAGGCGCGGGGGGCGATGGCGTTGATCTGGTTGTGGTTCAGGTACAGCTTCTGCAGCTTCTGCAGCTTGACGAAGATGTTGATCTTGATGCCCTTGAGCGCGTTCCCGCTCAGGTCCAGCTCCTTCAGCTCGGTGAGGCTGCAGAAGAGCTGGTGCTGGAGGTAGGGGAGCTTGTTCCCGGCCAGGATCAGCTCCCTCAGGTTGGGCAAGTCATGGAACACCTTGTCAGGCAGGACCACCAGCGAGTTCCAGCCCAGGTTCAGGTACCAGAGGTTGGAGAGCCCCGCGAACAGCCCTTCCTCCACCTTGCTGAAGTGGTTGTTGTTGAGGCTGAGGGAGACGAGGTTCTGGGTGTGCAGGAAGGTGTGCGGGGCCAGGTGCCGCAGGCGGTTGCGCTCCAGGTGCAGGTGGTAGAGGCTCCTCAGCCCGTGGAAGGCGTGCTGCTCCACGCCGGCCAGCTGGCTGCTCTGCAGGTCCAGGAAGTCCAGGGCTGACAGGTTCCTGAAGGCAGCAGCCGGCAGGAGGGTGAAGTTGTTGCCGTCCAGCCACAGGGCCTTGGCGTTGGGGGGCACGTCCTCGGGCAGGCGCGTCAGGTTGCGGGCGCTGCAGAACACGTTGAGCTCCTCGCTGTAGTCGTCCAGGCTGCAGGCACAGGGGCTGGGGCAGCGAGGCGGCTCCGTGTCCCCCTGCTCCTTCGGGGGGTCCCCCCCGGGGGGCTGGGAGGCGGCGGCCAGCAGCAGGGCCAGGGGGAGCAGGAGGGGGACGCCTGCTGTGGAGTGTGAGGAAAGGGGCCTCGGTCAGTGCGGGGACACGGCCGCTCCGGGGGACCCCTTTGGGACCCCCTGCCGGCTGCCTGCACTGCTGGAGTTGGGGGGGTGGAGGGGTCAGTCCCAGCCCTTTGCACACACAGGACAGCTGCAGCAATTTGCAGAGTTTGGATCCCTTGGGAGAGGGTGTGGGATCACCCCCCACTCCTGCCATGGCTCGGACTCCTCGGGGTCTGAGCATGGACTCCCAGAACTCATCTCTATATTGCAGTGGCTGCAGCAGCTTCTGCCTTTCATGAGGAAAGGCCCCCCAGTACCCTCTCCTCCTCCCTCCCCAGCTGCCTCCCCTTAACTTGCTGTTCCTCGGAGCCAGGGGGTCTCTGTGCTGCAGTCCCTGCCCATCCCTGCAGCCCCAGCCAGGTTTGTGCTCTGCCCTACAGTGCCTGCAAGCCCCCCAGGCAGCTCGGGGGCCCCCAGAATGTATAATCAGCAGTGGAGGAGGAGAAGAGCGAAGGGTGACTGAAGCCCCAGCAGAGTTTGAGCGTGTCCCCCCAGCCCCAGCCCGGCCCAGGGGCAGGTTCCCCAGCCTCACCTTTGCCTGCGCTCATGGCGGCGGGCAGGGCAGCTCCTGCTCCTGCTCCTGCTCCCGCTCCCGCTCCGCTCTCCGGCCCCGCCGCCTGCGCAGGGATGGATGGAGCAACCACCTTGACGCCTGTCCAGCCGCCCGCCCGGCCGGGCTTAACCCCACTGCTGCTGGGCCGGGCTGGGCTGAGCCCCCGGGACAGCCTGGCCGGGGTTACTGGCACCGGGACCGGCTCCTCGCTGCTCCCCCTGGTCTGTAACTGCCTTTAGGGCAGCTCGGGAAAAGGGCATGGAGTGAGATATCCGGGAATCTGATGGAGTGGGGATGGGGATCCTGCCAGAGATGGGGTTTGAGTGGGCAGTGAGGGTGGAGGGAGGGATGGGGCAACCTCACAGGGTGTCCCATGACCCTATCCCGAGCTCCTGGAGGGTCCTAAACACTGACCCTTCCTTGGGTGCCTGCCCTCCTCTGCCAGGGATGCCCTGGGATAAGCCCTGGCAGTGGGTCCTCATGCTGCATCAGGACCCAATCTCCCACTGGTGAAATGGTGGCTGTGAGGGCCCCCTGGACAGTGGGGGGGTGGGGGATGGTGCTCCAGGGCTGGCAGATCACACTCTGCCCCTGGCAGCTCCTCAAAACCCCCCTGGGGAGGCTGGTGACCTCATCCTGTGTCCCTGGGCATTTCCCCACCAGCCTGAACAGGGGTTCTGTGGAATCTTTTACCACTTTCCAGGGCAGAAAGAGAAAGCAAAGAGAAAGCCCCAGCGAGAGGAGCCTCGTGGCCAGTGGCTGCTGGATGGAAAAGCCACGGCCAACCCTTCCCCATGTCCTGGTAGCCCTGTGCTTCCCTGAAGATGAAGTTTGGCATCATTCACATCATTCACCTCCAGGAACAGGTATCTCCCACCAGTGTTGTTCTTCCCAACCCTGGTTTCCCCCCATGGTGCAAGTGGAGCAGGGATGCTCTCCACCACTGTGCCATCGGAGCCTGGCATCTCCCCCAGCTCCAGTTCCCACCAGACTGCTCTGGGAGGTGGAGATGGAACAGGGAAGCTGTCCACCACCAGTCCCACACCGTGGGTACCCCCACCATGCCCATTCCCGTGGGGGCCTGGCATGTCCCCCCCAGCTCCACAGGCCACATCTCAGCTCTTCATCACTGAACTCGGGCAGTTCCATGACCATGGGAAGACGTGTTGGAGGGAGACATCCAGGCTCCAGCCTTGCAACACAACTTTCCCACAGGCACTGCTTTCTCCCTTCCCTTTTGGCCCTGAGTGCCATTCTCCTCCCCCTCTATTTTAATCCTCTCTTCTGGGAATTTATAGATCGGAAGGGAGAAACACGGGATGGGGGTACACGCACCCACTAATAGGCACTGAGCACATATTGACACAAGGTGTAATCAATCTGGAAGCTAAAAAGAGCTGAGCCAGCACAGCTCAGCCAGCCAAAACCCACAAACCTCTTTGGGAAGTTTAAATGAGCCCTGCCTGTGGCTGGGAGCAGGTTTATCCCTGCCTCCAGCAGCCCATTCTGGGAAAATGTCAAATGAGATGTGATGGGAAAATAAAGAGAGTCAATAAGCAAATCCCTTCCCAGTGTGGCTGCGGTGCAGGGAGGAGCTGGACCCATCTCCACCTTTGAAGGTCCTTGAGGCATCTCTTCTAGACCTGTCTCCACCTTTCAACCTCCCTGAGGGCTTCTCCTCCAGATGTGTCCCATCACCTGTGGCTGGAACCCCATGAATGTTGATCCCTTCAGCATCACCATGAGCCCACCTTGACCACCTGGACCTCCACCTGCCCAGTGTACCACGGCTCCACAGCCACCCTGGGGACCTCATTTAGGCTCCCACCATGGATGTCCTCCTCCCACCGTGTCCCTGGCCAGTGTGGACCTCCCCACTTGATCCCCCCATCACTTCAGCTTTGACAGATAATCTCCCTGGCTGGGACCAAAGTCTGAGCCGCCTCCCCTGGTTGCCATGGAGAAGGCTGTAATGGTATTAGGAAAAGCAGCAAAATCATAAAAAAGTAGTTTTCAAACCTATTTAAACTCTAAGGAATCATTTACCTTCCCCAGCAGCCCTCCCATGCCTGCAGGTCCCTCCCCAGGGAGCTTCCCAGTCCCTGTGTGTGGGAAATGCCACCAGCTGCCCCTGGCTCCCTGTTCTGGCTGAACTGGGGAGGGACTGGTGCTGGTGGCCCTGCCAGGTCAGCTGTGGGACCCCAGGAGCTCTCTGGTCCATCCCCACCCAGCAGGGTGAGTGCCCAGGGACAGCTCTGGATACCAGCAGGGACAGCACCAACCCAGGGTGAGCCCTGAGGGGATGTGACACACGTGGTGTTGTCACAGCTGAGTTAGGGAGTATTTTTAGCAAATCTTGCCAAATATTGTCACTGTCTGGAGGAGACCATCTCGCATTGCCAGGGCAACCAGCACTCCTGCTCCTCATCCCCAACCAAAACCGTGCCAGCCCTGATGCTGCTGCCTGAGAGAGCTGGGGTGGGTGACACCAGCACCCCAGAGCTTGTGCCACCCTCCTGGGGACACCAGCAGGGACCAAACCCCAGGAGTGGGGCTTGGCCTGGTGCTCAGTGGCCACCCACGTTTCCGGCCACCCCAGTCCCCGACACTGGACATGGGGACCTGGGAGTGGGGGCACAAGGGCCTGGCAGCTGCTGGCAAAGGTCCCCATGGGCATCACCAAGTGTCAGTTCCTGCCCTGCCAAGGGTGTTGGGAAAGTTGGGAAAGGTGCCGGATGCGCCAGAGGCTCTTAGGGAAGCCAATTACAGCCCTGGTGGCCACGTGGCCACATGAAACCTCACCACCAGCCCAGCCTGGCTGGACTGGTTGGACTGGGAGAGGTCAGGACATCCCCAAGGCATGACTCAGGGTGGCCAGGCTGTTGCTGGAGACACAGATGGGAATATTCCCAAACACTGAGGTTTGGGGGAAAGAAGAAACCCGGGGAGTGGGAGGTTGGAGGTGCATGGGGACAGGAGAACCTGTCCCAGCAGTGGCTGCCAGGTCAAAGCTGGATTTGGGGAGTGAACAGAGGGATGGGAGGCAGCCACCTTGCCTAACTCACCTTGATGACAGTGCTGATGTGCCAGGAAGGGGGAAGGGTATTGTCCATGTCCCAGGTCAGCTCTCCAGACCTGGTGGGTTCTATGCCAGTCCCACAGCAGCTGCTGGGTGGAGGGATCAGCCTGGTCCTCGGGGTGCCTGGTCAGGGGGTGTGGGCCACGCACCCTCCCCCTGCCTGGGATTGCATGGCCACAACCCCCCCCACACCTGCTGCCAGCACCGTGCCTGCCCCATCCCGGCCCTCCTCCTCAGCCCCGTGGGGAAGCACCTGGAGATGCCAGGGGGGTGACAAAAGGGACATTAACAGCAGTGGGTGCTGGCAGTCCAGCAAACCCAACACCTCCTGGGCTGCACAACAAGCAGCTTGTTCAGCAGGGCCAAGGAGATGATTGTCCCTCCTGACGCCCCTGGAGCTCACACACATCCAGGATCCCAGCGCAGGGCAGACCCCGATGGGTCAGAGCAGCTCCAGGGGGAACCATGGAAAGGGAGAGCTGAGAGAGCTGCTCCAGCTCCCTCCTCCTCCTCCTTCCCCAGGCTGGGATGGCTGGGGCTGTCCAGCTAGAGGAGACCTTGTGGCAGCCTGGCAATACATGAGGGGCCTTGGAAGAGCAATGGAGAGAAGCTTTTCCTCAAGACCCGTCAAGAGAGGAGAAGGGGTGATGGTTTTAAACTGGGAGACAGTGGGTTTAGATTGGATATAAAAAGAAAATGCGTTAGGGGGGATCAGTGGGAGCCTGGCCTGGGGGTGCCACGGCTGGGCACCTCTGTGCCTCCAGGCAGGTGGCACCGTGGGCTGCTCCCACCTCACCGGGCATTCCCGGCGCTCCACCCGCCTCCCGGCAGGAATCCGCTGCACCCAGGAGCGAACGCGAATTCCCTTTGCTGGCGCTGGAAGCCAGATGGAGCCAGTCACTGCGCTAACGCTGTGCCGGGCCCCGCGGGAGGCTCCGGGGAAGGCGGGGGCCGCTCTCCCCGCTCCGCCCGCGGGTCCCCTCGGGGGCTGAGCGCGGTGTGTGACCCTGCCAAGGGCTGGCAGGGCTGCAGGAGAGGTGACAACAAACAGCGGCATCGGCCCGGTGCGCTGCGGGCTACAAATATTCCACCTGTTTCCCCTTGAACTCCTGCGGATTTGGGAGCGTTTCTCCATCTTTGTGCTGCATCCCAGGGGAGAGGTTGGTACCTCGGAGCACGAGGGTGACCCAGCCCCCAGAGCTGCTGTGGTTAAGGTGTCCTTGACAGGAAGAGTGAAAAAGGCTCAGTACAGAACTGGCCTTTGGTGGGGTTAACAAAACACAGACTTTCTGTTTGGTTTCACTCTGGAGCAGGGATGGAGATTTGGGGCTGCAGTGACACCCTAAAACCTCATTTCTCACCCCAAAATTGCTTTTTGTGGTGTGGACCGGGACAAAATTTGCTTCACATTCCCAAACCATGGGGAAAGTGGGCACTGTCATTCCTGGTGCCCATAGGACACCTGCCACCAAGAGGGGTTTTCATAAATAATGCCATATTTATGTATGTTAATTGTCCTCTGCCATGTGAAATGGGCACCCTGAGGATGAGGAAGAACCTGGCTGTGCCACCGTGGTGGCACGGGCTGTTTGCCCTCCTAAATCAGGTGTCCTGGGGTCTGGGACAGCCTGAGTGCCCATCCTTGGGGTGTCCCTGTGGGGCTGAGACCCCTCAGGACACAGCATGTGCCCGGGGAGTGGAGCTGCTGCTCAGCTCCCCATGTGCTGAGCCCCCTCTGCCGTGGGCAGGGTGTGAATTTGGCTTTCAGCTCCTGGGTGGGTGTGAAGAGACTGTGAATTCTCATCAGCACTTTCATTACCTTAATAAAATTACTTCAGGTCTGTTAAGTTCTTTCGCAGAAAAATAAGCCCTAATTGGACGTTCTGTTGGCTTCTCCTTCCCCAAAGCCCCCGGAGTGTTCAGTCCCTGGGTATCACATCCATGGACCTTCATTCAATCCCCCTCGAGGGGCTTCTCCAGCAGCCTGGACCAGGTGAGGAGTTTTGCTTGGCATGGAGCTTCTGTCAGGGTGGCCCCTCTCCCTCTCATCCTCTTGGCTCTGACAGATCCAGAAGAGTTATTCAGAGCTGTGGTCTTTTTTGAACATTAATTGTCAAAGCTTTTCTTCTCTAAAAGACAGATTCTTACCTAAACTCACCCACTCTACAGAAATAGCAGCGATAATAAGCCTGAAATGAGGAGATTAAGAACTGGAATTCATTTTAGAATCATAGAATCATCAACTAGTTTGAGTTGGAAGGGACCTTTAAAGGTCATCTAGTCCATCTAGTTTTACCCCTGTTCAGGGTTTTCCAGCACTATCCACCACCCCCTACACTCCCTCTTACCCTCACTCTTACCTTGGAGACTCTTCAAGTGCTTTTAGCTTTGCACACACTTGGGATTTGTCCTATTCCAGCCTGGCTGGTCCCAGTTTGGAGCCAGCAGCACTGTGTAGACCAGCACAACCCAGTTTTTGCACTGTCTGGGCTAATCTGGGCTTGTTTCAGTGCGTGCTTTGCTTTGAAGTTTAGATTTTGTCCACACAGTTTCTCTGATGTGAAGGGATAAACTGGGAAAGGCCTTTTCTGTCACCAGCTTCAGCTTGATCACAGCTCTGAGATCCTGGGACCTTTTGGGTGATTCACTGACAGGAGAGGTACAAGGACTGCAGAGATCAAGAGAAAGTTGCCCAGAAGCAAGTCAGATGCTCCTGGATGGTTTGGAGCAGATGGAAGTGTTAATGGGTTAATTAATGCGTTAATCAGATCACAGAGTCATGGAATGGGTTGCATTCAAATGGACCTCAAAGCTTATCTTGTTTCACCCCCTGCCATGGGCAGAGACACCTTCCACTAGCCCAGGTTGCTCCAAGCCCCATCCAACCTGGCCATGGACACTTCCAGGGACGGGGCAGCCACAGCTTCTCTGGGCAACCTGTGCCAGGGCCTCCCCACCCTCACAGGGAAGGATTTGTTCCCAGTATCCCATCTAACCCTGCCCTCTGGCAGAGGGAAGCCATTCCCCCTTGTCCTGGCACAATCTGTCCATGGAAAAAGTTACTCTCCCTCTTTTTTATCACCCCCCTTTAAGTACTGGAAGATCCCTGCACTAGAGATGGAGGCCACCCCTACAGCCAGGTTTGGGAACGGTCCATAACTGTGGTACCTCCAAAATGGCAATATTGCTTCGCTGGGGGTGTTTCCTGAGCTGCTCATTCCAGTATCTGTTGTGAGATGACTTGGGAATAGAGAAGCCTCCCCAGAAGTTTCATTTCCTTCCCTCCAACAGCTCCCAGGGTGGCTGGAATTATTGGTTCCACCTTAAAATCGAGGTGGGTGCCACACCCTCCAGTAACCAAAGTTGATAGCAACAGTGCTGGACCTCCAGGGAGAAGTTCCTTAGAGATCCTTAGATCCTTCCTTTGCTTTTCAGTTGCTGCCCAGACCACACCGTGCTGAGATCCCGGCCTCTGAGCACATGGATCTTGGAATTGTTGCAGAGAATGAGAAGGTGAGTGCTGTGACAGAGCATGTGCAGCACCTTGCTAATGGAAAATATAAGTGTGAAGGTCTGCAGCCCCTTCCCGGGTGATGGAAGAGGCTCTGCCAAGGAAATCCTCATCACAGGAGGAAAATGGCAGCTGAAAATCCCATCTAGAATCTGTTCAGGCTCTGAAAAGCTGAGCTGTTCGAGCAGCTCGTGGTGGGTGAGTGGCAGGGGGAGGAGGGCTTGGCTGGCACCCGCTGTGGGAGCTGCTCTGTGTCTCCAGGTGCAGCTGCAGGATGGGAACGACGGGATGTACCAGCTTGGAGACCCCCAGGAAGGCATGGGGAAGCTGGCTAACTCCAAGACAGATTTCCCAGCCAGGGTGCTCTTCAGTGAAGAGGAAAAACTGAAGGTAAAACTTTGAGAGTTGGAGAGAACTGATCTGTGAGGCTGTAAGAGGTCTGTAGATCCTCTTCCTACTCTTTCCAGTAGGAAATCTGAGGGGGAATTCCTCCTTCTAGAGGGGTGTGTGTTGTGCTTAAACATCATGTTGGCCTCAGAATCCATCCATGGCTTTAATTAGGCTTTAATTCTCCTAGATTTCCAAGGACCTCGTCGATCTCCAGATAGAGACCAACAAAATGAAGGAGCAGTACGAGACAGAGAACTTTGAACTGAAAAATATGGTATCCAGAAGTTTGGAATAGCTGATTTCTGCCCTGCCAATGCCTTTGTCCAGCAGTCCAGCTCCTTACACACCCACCTTTGCTTTGCTTGGCATATTCTCTTGGCTCTGCCTGGAACTATATTCCCCCCTGACATCCCAGATATCATGAAACTCCCATGAAACTCATCTCCCTGTGACTGCTCCTGGTCTCTGCCACAGTCTAATCCTGCTGACTTCACTCTGCAGATCCTGGCCCTGGAGAACCGTGTGCGGGAGCTGGAGCTGTGCAGTGAGAAGGTGACGGGGGAGCGAGATTCCCTGCGGGAACACCTGCAAGCCCTGGAGAGCGCTCGGAAGGAGCTGGCACAGGAGTACATCATTCTGAAAAGCAACTACCTGGCCCTTGGGAAAGAGCTGGACCAGGAGGTGAGACAGACTCTGGTGCTCATCCTGGTGTTCCCGACTCCATCTCACATTCCTCTGATGTACAGGCAGCTTCGTGGCTTTGGGTTGTGTATTCGTGTCACAGCTCAGCTCCAGTGAGGCTTGTTTAGAGAATCAGGGAATGGTTTGAGCTGAAGGGGCCTCTTAAAGGCCACCCAACTCTACTCCCCTGCCATGGGCAGGGACACCTTCCACTAGCCCAGGTTGCTCCAAGCCCCGTCCAACCTGGCCTTGGACAATTCCAGGGATGGGGCAGCCACAGCTTCTCTGGGCAACCTGTGCCAGGGCCTCACCACCCTCACAGGGAACAATTTCTCCCCAATATCCCATCTAACCCTGCACTGTGGCAGTGGGAAGCCATTCCCCCTTGTCCTGTCCCTCCAGGCCCTTGTCCCAAGTCCCTCTCCAGCTCTCCTGGAGCCCCTTTAGACCCTAGAAAGAGTTCCAAGGTCTCCCTGGAGCCTTCTCCAGATGAGCACCCCCAGCTCTCTCAGCCTGGCTGCAGAGCAGAGGGGCTCCAGCCCTTGGAGCATCTCTGTGGCCTCCTCTGGACTCTCTCCAGCAGCTCCACATCCTTGTGCTGTTGGTTCCCCCATATCTGGAGGCAGCTCTGCAGGGGGGTCTCACCTGAGGGGGCAGAGGGGCAGAATCCCCCCTCCCCTGCTGCCCACGCTGTGGGATCAGCCCGGGGCACACGGCCGGGGCAGGTCCAGCCCCTCAGCTGTGACTCGGCCCTGGGTTTGTTTGCAGGGCCGGGGGTTTGGTGTCACACCTCCCCCTCCTCGCGGGGTCTGTGGGACCCGCTCTGCGCAGCGGGGTGGGCGCTGAGCCCACGCTGACCCGAGTGATCCCGGCCCCCGCTGGCGCAGCCTCCCCGCTCCGGGCCGGCCCCATCCCTGTTCCCGGGGGTCACGGCGGGGCTGGCCCGGGCACACGGGGCCGCTCCCCCCGCGCTGCCAGCGCGCTTTGTTTCCCTTTTTTCTGCTTGGCTTGCGCGGGCTGCACGTGAACGGATTGGAGCCGCTCTCTTTTCGGGCGGCGGGAAGGGGCCTGGGAGCTTTTAGGCAGACAGCTTTATAAAAACACTGGATTCAAGCAAGTTTCTGATGGCTCCTTAAAAGATAGTCACCTTCCCGGTGACTGTTAGCTTAGCAATTATTAACCAGAGTCTTTCGGACCTGGATTTGTGTATTTCTTTGGCAAGAACAGCTACTTCAATAGCCCTTCCTCTCTCCCCTCCCTCTCCTCTCTCCTGCTTCTCCCCCTTTTTAAATTGGATGGAATGACTGACACTCTCCTGCCTCCCTCCCTCCCTCCCCCAGCAGATAGTTTCGCCGGTTCAGCTGAATGACCTGGTTTTCCATGCCGGGCTGTGGTGGGAAGATGTGGAGCTGGGACCAGGCACGTTTGTTTGGTCCGGTCTGTCTGGATGGTCTGCAAAGCTCTGGTAGAGGAGGATGCAGGATCATGATCATGCCGTGGGTTAGTGACCCCTGTGAGCTGATCATCTGTCTTCCATAAGCTGAGAAACGGGAATTTCTTACAAGGAGGCAAGCTCAGCTCTCAGAGAGGGGTGAACCCACCCTGTCATCCCACTGGAGCACGAGGCAGAGCTGCTCTGCTCCCTCCTCGTGGAGGAATAGCTCCATGTTCAGCGCTCTCAGCTGCTCCTTGTCCCCAAGGGGGTGCAGTATGTTTGTCAAAAATTGGATTTTCAGGCAGCTGACATCTCTAAATGATGGGTTTAGCGAGTTAGAGGTAATAACACACTGTTTTCACATGGATCCTGGAATGTTTCAGAGGGTGAAAACACGTGGATTCAGTTCTGTGCCTGGATAGCATCCTGAAGAATTATAGAATCATGGAACGGTCTGGGTTGGAAGGGACCTTAAAACCCATCTTGTTCTACCCTTTGCCACGGGCAGGGACATTTCCACTAGACCAGGTCGCTCCAAGAAGCAGTGGAGCATGGTCCAGAAGCCAGAGGTGAATTCCTTGGATGTAATCCATATGCTGAGGGATTTACCCCTCCTTGGCTCTGCCTACCAGATATCCCTGCCTGAAGCCAGAAAGGCTCCGACTTGGCAGGCTGGGACTTGTCGCGACATGGGCCTCTTGCTCATTATTTTCCCAGTGCGGACTTTCCCAAAGGAAATGGGAAAAGCAGCCTGCGGTTCTGTCCCCTCCCCTTCCCCGGCGCTCTTCTGGGGAGACAATGAACCTTTTACACATTCCCAATTACAAGTGCTACTTGTGACCTTGCCAATATGTTGTCATGGCTGCTTGGCGCAGAAGCAGCTCCGCGGACTCATTCACGGCCCCTTGGCCGGGAACAGTTGGAGCCGCTGAATTGTCGGGCGCCCTTTGTGCTGGATTCACACACCGCCCCGGGGCTGTCCCGGCCGCAGAGCCGGCCTTGCCCGGCCCTTGGGAAGCGCCTTGCAGAAGGTGCCAGCCAGGCACTTGGTGCCTGTTTTCTGACTCGCTGTAAATTCCTCCTTTTCAAGGCTCTGACCTTTCCTCTCTCCCCGTTTCCTTCTCCCTTTGTCCCGCGGCTGCGGCGGCGCTCGGCGGAGGGGACCCAGTGCCTGCGAGCCGGGTTCCACGCCGGGGTTTTCTCTGGAGCCAGGCCAGGCTCGGGAGCTCAGCGAAGCCCAGCTCAAACCCGGGACTGGACTGCCTCTTTTTTTTGGCTAAACCAGTAGTTGTGCCCCCTTTCCGACCGAATTGTCGGGGCTGACAGCTGCAGATGGATCGCTCTGGGCTGGGGAACAAGCGGGCTGGCTCTGCGGAGCTGTCAGGTTTCACAGCTGTATATCTCACCTCTTTGTCAGCCTCTTTTCTCCTCGCTCTCCCCCAGCCCACCCTGTGCTATCTTTTGATAAGCTGTTCTCTCCACGGATGACTCAGATGACCTCTGCCTCCCATCCTCCCGATTCACTGCCATGGTAACAATTACTCAAGCTTGTCCCCAGTCATAAACCCCATCAAAGCTTTGTTATCTACACAGAAACCCTCCCGGGAGACATGAATTCCCCCAGTGTTCCTTCCAGATCACCTGTAACAGAGCTTTTCTCATTCAGATCCTCTTTATCTTTTGGAAATGTGTCACTTCACACCAGCACTGCTTTGAATCTTGCTGCCTACACGGAGCTGTGGGCTGGCTGCTGCTGAGGGATGCATCCCAACCGAACTGGGATTGTGTCAGCAGGGATGGACAGAAGGATGGAGATGTGGCCCCCTTCTCTTGTATTATGGAGTCCAGCACTGTTCAAAGCTGTTCCATGGGGAAAGACATTCCAGAGGTGTTGGGAAGCTGCATGGAGGGTGCAGGGTTGGAAGGAGGAGAAAGCTGGAGGCCAGGAGAGGTGGTGGCAGAGCTGTGCCCAGGGCTGGCACTGGGATCTGGATCTGAATGTGAGAGAGAGACAGGCAGAGGGATAAGGTTCCACGGGAATAACCCTGCTGCCTGGAAATGCATTTCCATGAGAACTAGAAAATCACTCATATCTTTGGACCGGTGAAGATAAGACCATAGGAGAGAGAACTAAAATTAAAACTTGCTTTTGGGAGGGTTCAGGGGTGCCTGCCTTGTGCACACGTCAGGAGCAGCAGGTGAGGAGGATTTTCTTTCTTTCTTGTTTGACCTGGCAGGTCAGGAGGAATGAAGAGCTCACCCAAGAGCTCCTCAACCTGGCCAAAGGCAGGAACACCCTTCCTGGCACAGAGAGCACCCCCCCGCCTGCCATGGCCCAACAATCCTCTGCGGAGCTGGAAAGGGTGAGGGGGAAGGTAAGGAACTCTCTGCCCTTCCACCAGCTCCTTGGACAAGGATCTAACAGGCCCTTCTGTCTCTCCTAAAAGCAGCCTGAAGATGCAGTTGCCTCTGGACACGAGCGGCAGGAGCTGGAGAGAAACGTGAGTGTGTGGGGTCTGCTGCTGGATCCTTGGGAAACAGAGGGGGGACTGATTCCAACTGTGGCTGGCACCTCCTTGTGCTAACTTGAGTTTTGTGGATCAGCTGATGCCTTGATTCATTTGAAATTATTTTTTAAGCTGTGCAGTTGCAAAATGAGGCTGGGGTAACTCCAGATGTGCAGGCAGAGCTGAGGGAGGGCACAGGTGGTGCCCTCGTCCGTGCCCTGTCAGGGTGAACACAGGCAGGAGTTTAAAAGCCAACAAGTGCAGAGGACACTTATTTTCTTCTTGCTCATACTTGAGAAAGCTGGGGGTGATGAAACACCCGAAACGGAGAGCAGGGAGATGCTCTCAGCCTCCTCCCCATCTGCAGTCCCTGCAAAACCACCACCAGCTCCTGCTGGGAATGTGGCTCTCAACGTGAGAATTTCCCTTGGGAGAGCGACACGTGTGCACCTCCACGTGCCCTGTCTGCAGATCAGACTCCATTTCTGGTGTGCTACAGGGCACCAGTCCCTTCCAGTTTAACCAGTCCTTTCCCCAGCATGTCACCACTCACTGGGCCCTCTCCTCACTTCGTCCTCTCTTTGCTCAGCCTTCTGCCTCATCTTCCTCTTTGTTTGTCCCTCAGTTGCTTGGAAACCAGGATCACATAAAAGTGGAGCTTGAAAAACTGAAGAAAACCCACGACTGGCAGCAGCAGAAGCTGGAGGAGCGAGTGTAAGTGTTGGGAGCACCTTCTGCTTGGCTGGGCATTTATGGGCTTCACTGCAGCTGGATTTGATCCATGGGAGCAGGAGAGGAGGCAGGCTGTCTCTGGTGGGGTACAAGGTGGGAATGATGATTCACCCTTGGAAGAAGTGAGACCTGGAAGGAAAACCTGATGTTTTCAAGGCTCTTCAAAGAGTCAGCTGTCTGCTTAAAGTTGGTGGTGTTTAGGGACACCTTGAAAATCCACATTCTGTAAAACACAGCCCAGAGATGAATCCAGCCCCAGCCCTTACCCCCACAGCAGGTCTTCCATTGTCATGGGATGTGGTTGATGACCTGGGAAAGGCTGCCCCAGCAGGGATGATGCAGGAGTAGACCCTGTGCCTGGGGAAGACAATTCACCTTTGATGGGGAGAGTTCTGTGGTGCTGGTTGATGCACATCTGGGGAATGGCAGCTGCTGCTGGGAGATTTCTGTCATCCCAGTGATTTCCTTCCCCAAGCTGGCTGTGTTGGACCTACAGAGACTCCCAGAATGGTTTGGGTTGGAAGGGACCTTAAACATCATCTCATTCCACCCCCTGCCACCTTCCACTAGACCAGGTTGCTCCCAGCCCCATCCAACCTGGCCTTGAACACTTCCAGGGATGGGGCAGAAGTTTGGGGGGGTTAAAATATAACCCATTTTCTTCCTGTGTGTCCAGGCTGGGGCTGGGGAAGGAGCTGCAGGAGGCAAAGGGAGCGATTGGGGACACGCAGCGCAGGCTGGTGGAGCAGTCAGCGGTGAGGACAGGCTTCCTTCCCCTGCTCCTCCTGCCAGCCATGGGCTATTCCTGAGCTTCCAGGGGGGCATGCCTTGTATCCAGGTACTCTGACACCTCTTCCTCTCCAGGGAGCTTTTCCCACCAAGGTTCTCCTCCCTGTGCAGTTTCCTTCCGCACGTGGTGGAAGGTGCTGCTTGCTCAGGTGGTGGGAGGAATTTTGTTCACTGATTTTTAGAAAGAGTTGGTGGAATCACCGGGGTGGGGAGGTGGCAAATGACAGAAGGTAGCAGGGGAATTGAGGCTATAAACATTTCCATTGGACTTCTCTGAAAACTCAGGACCTTCCCAGCTCTAGTGAAGTCGAGTATCTGGAAAGGAAATCTCCAGTGTACTGTCGAGCTTCTCAGTTCCCCCTCCTTGGCTGGAGGGCAGCAGTTTCTTTGTTTGTTGTGCCCAGGTGCTGCTCACGTCCCAGAGCCAGCTGCAGGAGGTGGAGGCAGAGAACTCCCAGCTGCAACTCCGGCTGAAGGAGCTGAACGAGGAATATCGCTCCCGGCTGGCGCGGTACATCCGGGACGTGGCGGTGGGTACCCCCCGCCCCAGGGGCTCTGCTGGCCTGGGGATTCACAGAATCATGGAACATCCTGAGCTGGAAGGGACCCATAAGGATCATGAGAATACTCCTGGCCCTGCACAGACACCCCAACAGTCCCACCCTATTCCTGAGAGTGTTTTCCAAACACTCCTGGAGCTCTGGCAGCCTTGGTGCTGTGCCCACTGCCCTGGGGAGCCTGGTCAGTGCCCAACCACCCTCTGGGGGAAGAACCTTTTCCTGAGATCCAGCCTAACCCTGCCCTAATGCAACTCCAGCTGTTCCCTCAGATCTCTCCATGCTGGCTGCCCTCCTCTTGCGGGATGCTGCAAATAAATAAGACTAAATAAGTGAATAAGAGGATCTTTCAATCCCAGTTATCTGACCAAGAAAAATCCCAGCAGAAACTCACAGGTCATTTTGCAGGGCTATACAGGAAAACTGGGTGCAGAGGGGGGCTGGCTTAGAATCATAGAATGGGTTAGGTTGGAAGGCACCTTAAAGATCATTTCATTCCACCCCCTGCCATGGGCAGGGACACCTCCCACTAGCCCAGGTTGCTCCAAGCCCCGTCCAACCTGGCCTTGGACACTTCCAGGGATGGGGCAGCCGTAGCTTCCCTAAGGAACCTGTGCCAGGGCCTCCCTACCCTCACAGGAAAGAATTCTTTCCCAGTATCCCACCCAACCCTGCCCTCTGGCAGCAGGAAAACATTCCCCCTCAATTCCTCTGTCTGTGCATTTACAGAACTACATGGACAGCAAATCCAGCCACGTGACAAGACACAGCAAAGCCCCAGCTGATCATGCTGCCATGAAGCACTTTGTGGACAACATGCTGAAGGATATCCGGGCTTCCTACAAGTCCCGGGAAGAGCAGCTGGCTCGGGCAGCACGTGGGTACAAGAAACGCATGAAGGACTTGGTGAAGAAGCACGAGAACCTGCTGATTGCCTATGGGTAAGGCTCAGACAGGCTCTGGGCCACCTCTGCCTTCAGGACCAAGTGAAGTGCCCCATAGCACCCACCCCACTGTCCTAGAGGGAGGCAAATGAGGCTCCCAGGGGGAGCAGGGGATGTGGAGTGCATGTTATCCCTGCTCCTGCCAATCCAGGATCGAGGTGCCTCCAGCTGCACGTCAGGGTGCTCTGGACATCATGGAGCTGCTTTGCACATATGTTTCTCCCACGTAAAATTCAGGGTGAGAGATGGATCCCACGCTGGATGGTGTGGAAATGCAGAGGTACCACAAATAGCTCCACCTCCCAGCCCGTCCCTGCAGTGCTTTCAGCTCCACTCCACAGCTCTCTCAGCAGCTTGGGCTGTGGGAAGCAGCAGAAATACTTGTGGTATAAAAGCTACAAATAGCTCTAGGACAAGCTCCCCTCAGAAACTCTCCCAGGAATGCTCCCACTTATCCTTTGCAGGTGGCCAGAAACCAGCAGGTCCCAAGGGAATGGTACCTCCAGGAGCAGCAGAACTGCTCGGTGTTGTCACCCAAAAAAGCAACCAGGGACTGACCCCTCTGGCACGTTACAGGCTCCAGCGAGAGCAGATCCGGTCCCTGGGGAGCAGTGCTATGGATTGTGGCCCTGCTGAGCTCCACTTCTCCATCTCGGACCCAGAGCTGCTCACAAACACCACCCGGGAGCTGAACCGGCTGCGGGAGGAAAAGGCGAAGCTGGAAATGCAGCTCCAGGAACTGCAAAAGGTGGAGGCTGGGCAGGGAAACTGGGGAGTGGTGGGGAGAGTCTTAAGGTGACACTGAGCCCCTTTCTTAGGCATTCACAGGGTTGTTTAGATTGGGAAAGCCCTCCAAGATCATCAAGTCCAGCCGTTCCCCCAGCACTGCCAAGGCCACCCCTAAACCATGCTACTGGGTCCCACATCCACCCTCTCCCTGAGGATTCGCTGTGCCCGTGGCACAGGCAGGGAATATTCCAATCATCTCCCAGTCACAGAATCAGGGAATCCCAGAATGGCTTGGGTTGGAAAAGACCTTAAAAGCTCATCTTGTTCCACCTTCCCACCATGGGCAGGGACACCTTCCACTAGCCCAGGTTGCTCCAAACCCCATCCAACCTGGCCTTGGACACTTCCAGGGATGGGAGGAACATCTCTTGATTTGCATGGGATGCATTTATTTAAAAATTCAGAGGATGGGAGACTTAAAACCTTGAGATTCTACAGCACATCATTTCCTTGCCAGGGCACTGGTGGCTGTGGGAGTGCTGGGGTACGTTGTGTCCCTTCAAAGGGGGCTTACAAAAAAGGGGGAGAGTGACTTTTACAGGGGCAGAGATTGATAGGACACGAGGAACAGATTTAAACTAAAAGAGAAGAGATTTAGATTGGATGTTAGGAAGAAATTCTTCCCTGTGAGGGTGGTGAGGCCCTGGCACAGGTTGCCCAGAGAAGCTGTGGCTGCCCCTGAATCCCTGGAAGTGTCCAAGGCCAGGTTGGACGGGACTTGGTGCAACCTGGGCTAGTGGAAGGTGTCCCTGCCCATGGCAGGGGGTGGAACAAGATGAACTTTGAGGTCCCTTTGAACACAGCCCATTCCATGATGTGATTTCTATGAAGGTGGCAGGATCTGGGATTGCAATGGTTGAATGCTTACAGGAATCCTGCTCTTCTTTTGCCTCCAGAAAGGACTGAAAGAAGCCTCTGCCTTTCCACTGCCTCCAGAGCAGTAAGTGCTGTTTGTTTCGGAGGATATCTGTCATTCCAAATTCTCCTTAATGTGTGCATTGAGGAATCTCTTTTGCTTGCTTGGAGACAGCAATAAATAGGGAGAAAGGGAGCTTCTGGGCCTGCTCTGGGAAGAACAGCTGGCTGTCCCCTCAGCACAGCCCTTCCTGCGGGGAAGAGAGTTGGTCATTTGGGCCTTGATCCAAGAAAGCTCTTAAGCATATATTTGATTTAATCCTGTTTATAGTCCCACTGACCTCTTTAGAAGCTGAAATTAAGCATATGCCCAAGTGCTTTGGTGGATCACAACCTGAGAAGGGGCTATGGAACACCACCAGTTTGGGATGGTCCTGTTTCTCCTCCCTCCCAGTGCAGGAGCTGGGCTGGAACCCTTCAGTGCCACTGTGCTGATGCCTCCCTGGCTTCCCAACAAGCTCTGGATTTGCTCATTTTTGATGAGTCTCTTCCCCCTGCTCTGTTTCTCTGCTGAAACTCGAACAGCTATAGCTGTGGAGAGCTGGAACAAAGCGTAGGAGAAACCTAAGCTGGGATTTTTCAGCCTTTTAAGATGTGGTCACCCAGAAAACGTGTCAGGTATTCCATTAGCTGGGTGCCAGCACCAAGGAGTGGGTCAGTGCCAGAGCCCCTGGGCTCTGGAAGGGTCTCAGGCACAAGCTTGAGATTCAAACAGCCTCTGCCATGCTTTCCACACTGAAAATAGAAGCAGTCCTTGAGTAGATGCATTAATTTTATCAGACTCACCATAGGAGCAAGATCTGGAAAATCCAGAGTCTGAATTTTAGTGATGCATCTTGTTTAGGTTTTTTAACTGTCAAGAGACCAAACTTCAAACTGTGATGGGTTTATTCATGCTGTTACCTTGCCCCTCCAGCTGGTGACATGAATCCCAGTGTTCCCACAGCATTTCAGCTCTAGTTCCTGCTTCTTGCTTTTATCACTAAATCACAGAATGGTTGGGGTTGGAAGGGACCCTAAAGACCATCTCATTCCGCCCCCCATGCCATGGAGGCTTATCAGCTGCATGGACTCCCTGTTTATTGTCCCCTTCTCTTCTGGCTCCCATGGAATCCCAGCCGGGATTCCCTGGGCTGGGAAGCTGCAGCCACCGGAGCCGCTGGGAGCACAATGCATTCCTCCCTTCACACAGCCCAAATTCCCCGAGCATCAGATGTGACCTGTTGTTTTCCTCCCTCAGACTGGGAGGCAGTGGGAAGGGCTTTCCCACGCCGGGCTGAGCAGACAGCTCACCTATCGTGCTCGCTGACCAGAACGGGCCGTGCTCCCAGCGCCAGCCTCGGCCATTGATGGCTCTCTGTTCCCACCAAACTCAGCCCTGCAGTGGCAGGTTCAGGGCTTTTTCTGCACGGAGGCCTGCGACGTGCGAGTGATGATGTGATTTGGAACAGACCCAGCTGCCCTGGTGGGCAATCCCAGGCTGGCAGAAGGGCTGTGACTCCCGTGCCTGGGCACGGGATGGTGCCGCATACCCTGAAGAGGTTTGGGCACTGGGAGAGGAAAGGTTCAAGGGCTGGGGTTCATGGTGGGATGGGCATGAGTTGTGTGGAGCTGTGTGTCCTGTGGGTGGGCTGGATTTGATATCTGGGCATGATCCAAATATGCTCTTCTCTCGTAGGCAGCTGGATGAGGAGGGCTGGGCAGAGGTCAGGAAGCAGCTCCGGGAATTCACACACAACACCCAGGTAAAAGTCTGGAACAGCCTGTTGGAGTAAAAGCTTATCCCTCACCCACATGGCAAAGATGTGCTGCCCTGGGGCCGATGTGCTGCTCCAGGCTGGAGGGGGGAAACTTTCACAGAATCACAGAATATCTCGAGTTGGAAGGGATCCACAAGGATCATCCAGTCCAACTCCTGGCCCTACACAGGCACCCCAGCAATCCCACCCTGTCCCTGGGAGCATTGTCCAAACAGTCCTTGAGGTCCGGCAGCCTTGGGGCCGTGATGACCACTGCCCTGGGGACCACCTTCCATGGAGCCTTGCTCTGGCTTTGGCCTCAGCCCACCCAGTGATGCTGACAGGTCCCAGCAGGTGATGTCTCAAGGCTCTACTGTCCCTGCTGCTAAAGGAAGGAGAGCAGCCCCTCATCGCTCCTGCCTGTGTTTCAGAACAAGCATCTTGGCATCTCTATAACCAACTGGGGGTGCCCGTCCCCTGTGCTGGCACTGCTGAGGCACCTCCAATCCTGGGGTCAGTTTTAGGCCCTGCATGACAAAAAGGACATTGAGGGGCTGGAGCGTGTCCAGGGAAGGGAACGGAGCTGGGGAAGGGGCTGGAGCAGCAGGAGCAGCTGAGGGAGCTGGGGGGGCTCAGGCTGGAGAAAAGGAGGCTCAGGGGGGACCTTCTGGCTCTGCAACCCCCTGACAGGAGGGGGGAGCCGGGGGGAGTCGGGCTCTGCTCCCAGGGAACAAGGGACAGAACAAGAAAAAACAGCCTCAAGTTGTGCCAGGGGAGGTTTAGATGGATATTGGGGAAATTTCTTCACTGAAATGGTGGTCAGGCCCTGGCACAGCTGCCCAGGGCAGAGGTGGAGTCCCCATTCCTGGAGGGATTTAAAAGCTATGTGGATGTGGCACTTGGGGATGTGGGTTAGCAGTGGCCTTGGCACTGCTGGGGAAGTGGTTGGATTTGATGATTTTAGAGGGCTTTTCCAACCTACATGATTTCATTGATTCCATGATTCTGTTTGACCTGGCTCAAGCCTAGGCTGAATCTGAATCAGCTTCTCAGTCTGGTTCCCCCTGGGTGCAAAGATATTCACTTCCATGTCGTGCCTTTCCCTGTCCACAGTGACCTGAGGAAGGGCTCCACCATTACCTGGGGGTGTTGAAAGCTGAACACCTACATTGGGTGTATTTTTGTGGCCAAAAAACCAGAGCTGCTGTGGCTGAGAGGCCAGAGCGACGGGGAAGTGGTTGGAAGGGCCTGGCAGAGAGGGACTGAGCAACTTCACTCCAATCTCACAGACCTCCCTGTTTTCTCCATGTTTTCTCCACTTTTCTTCGCCCCTCCAGGAGGATCTGGAGCAGGAGAGGAGCCAGCTGCTGACTCGGGCTGTCGTGGCAGAGGAGCAGGTGTTGGAGCTGCAGGAGTACATAAATCAGCATCTTGCCAGGTGAGATGGTGGGATCTCCCTGCTCTGCCCTGTGCTCCCAGTTTATCTCCAGGCTCATTGCCAGGGACATCATGGTGCCCACCACGCTGTCCGTGCCCACTGCTGGCACTGCCACAGCACTGCCAGCACGGCTGATGTCCTGCTGCACCTCCAGCTGTGCAGGCAGCTGCCACCAGCCCTTGTTCCACAGGGCAGGGGGACACACACATGCCCAGCCACACGTCTCCTTCCTTCCCTGCTCACCCATCCTTTGCAGGAATCACAGAATCATGGAATGGTTTGGATTGGAAGGGATCTTAAAACCCATCCAGTTCCACCTTCCTGCCATGGGCAGGGACACCTTCCACTGTCCCAGGTTGCTCCAAGCCCCGTCCAACCTGGCCTTGGACACTTCCAGGGATAGGGCAGCCACAGCTTCTCTGGGCAACCCGTGCCAGGGCATCCCCACCCTCACAGAGAATTCCTTCCCAATATCCCATCTAACCCTGCCCTCTGGCAGTGGGAAGCCATTGTCCCTCGTCCCTCCAGGCCCTTGTTCAAAGTCCCTCTCCAGTTCCCTTGGAGCCCCTTTAGGCATTGGGAGGGACTCTAAGGTCTCCCTGAGCCTTCACAAGGGGCTAAGAGGGGGTTGCCTCCCAGCAGCCCCCCATCCACATTCCTCTCTCCCTGGCTCATCCTGCCCCGGAGCAGGGAGAGCAGCTGCTGGGGCAGGGAAGGGTGAGGACAAGCAGGGCCTGTCTGTCGGACCATGATCCACCTTTCCTGCCGTGACTGCCCACCTGGCAAGTCAGGTCAGGCTCTGCAGTGCCCACGAACACCTTTGAGATGAAAGGCTGTGGGTTCCTACTCGCCAGGCAGAGCTCCTGGCACGGCTCAGTGCGCAGGGACTGTGCCTGCACTGTGCTGCTTCCCACCGCAGGTACAAGCAGGAGATCCTGCGGCTCAGGAACGCTGAGGGCAGCGAGGGGCCTCGTGTGCTCAGTGCCAGGGCAGCTGCTGCTCCCCCCCTGCCCAGAGCCAGGACTGCCAGCCATGATCCATAGCACTCCGTGAGGAGCAGCATCAACACAGGGAAGAGCAGGATTCAAAGCAGGAGGTTTGTGTTCTATGGGCTGCCAGGAAAGTATCCTGCCCAGGCCGGGAGCGGCGAGGGAAAGCACGTGGGTGTTCCCCATCTCGAGTTCACAGGACTAAAATGAGACAAGACAACTGTGTCTCGTCTTTCCTCGTCTATCCCCGGGCTGCAGGAATTCTGCTGTTCCCTGAGCACGTCACGGACACGGGGTCAGGTTCCCAGGCAGCTCTTTAATGCCGGGCTGCAGGGACAGGTTCCTGTTCCTGCTGTAACATTTCTGCTGGGTGAGACCTGGACCAGAGCCCAAGGGCTGCTCCTGCCTCGCTCTCCTCCCCTCCCTCCCAGCTCCCGTGAGGCGGAGCCAAGGCTGGCTCAAGGCACTCTGAGGCTGGACAAAGAGATGAGCTGCTCTTTACTTGTGAGGCTGGGGAGGCCCTGGCACAGGTTGCCCAGAGAAGCTGTGGCTGCCCCATCCCTGGAAGTGTCCAAGGCCAGGTTGGACGGGGCTTGGAGCAACCTGGGCTAGTGGAAGGTGTCCCTGCCCACGGCAGGGGGTGGAAAGAGATGAACTTTAAGGTGCCTTCCCACCCAAACCATTCTATGATCCTAAGATTCTGTGGTGGGAAAACCCTTTTTTTCTCTGTGTTTGAGTGGAAAATTAAATGTTACATAGATGAGCAGGGCCAAGCTGATCCTTCAGGGGGGTGAGCTGGACACACTCCCTCCTGTGATACCTTCAAAGGGACAGTGGAGCAAAGCCAGAGTCCAGGACCGATGCATGCTCTGGCTCCAGGACTGTCCTGCAACTCAAAGGAAAACCAGAAACCTCAAAGGAACAACCAACCAAATATTTATTTTGAAAAATTAAATAAAGTAGTAAACAGACAGAAAGAGGCACTGGAGCTTTAGTCCTTAAATCTCGCGTTAATCCCAGGACTTCTGGGTCTGATTTTCTCCTCCCTTGCTTCTCCCAATCTCTTTGGAAAACTGAGTGACTGCCACCCTGCAAGTCCCCAGGACAAATCCTGGCCAAGCACTGCTGTCCTGAGCTGAGCCTGGGGCTGGAGAGGCTCTGACCCTTAATGCCGGGCTCACTGAGGCTGGTGTTAGACTGAGCTTAACAAGGCTGCTGTCAGACTGGGCTCCCCTGGGCGCTGCTCTGCGCTGCTCGACGCACCTCCTTCATGTCATAGGCCCAGACCTGCTCCAGCCCCTGCCCCAGGGTGCTGCTGGGAGTCCAGGACGGGAAGGGGAAGCGTCCAGACACCACCCGGGCCCCGTCGGGGAGTTCTGCCAGGAGCTTTGTAGCCAAGGGAGGCTTCTGGGGAGAGAAGAGCCAGGGCCAGGCAACCTTAGGACACGGTCACGTAGTGGCAGTGCCACCAGGGACCACAGGGCAGCTTCTGGTGGGTCCCGAGCAGGGGCATCAAGCATTCAAAGCACAGGGCTGGTACTGGCCCTGTGTAAGGCTGGGACTAGGAGAAGTGATGAGCAACAGGACAAGAAGAAACAGCCTTTAAGTTGTGCCAGGGGAGGTTTAGATTGGATATTGAGAACATTTCTTCACAGAAAGGGTGGTCAGGCACTGGCACAGCTGCCCAGGGCAGGGGTGGGGTCACCATCCCTGGAGCAGCCATGTGGATGTGGCACTCGGGGACATGGGTCAGTGGTGGCCTTGGCAGTACTGGGGGAATGGTTGGACTTGATGATCTTGGAGGGCTTTTCCAACCTTAACAATTCCATGGTTTTATAAATCCCGCTGCTGCTGAGCACCAAATCACTCGCTCACAGAAATGCCCACTTGGCCTTATTCTGTCCCAGATCCTCTCTCTATTCCAAGAAAACCCTCCTCGAGCTCCCCGTGAACAACTCAGGATGTGAGGGACCAACTTACCACGCTGGGGGCCAGGAACACAATCACATTGTTGCAGTCGGAAAGATCCACCTTAAAAGGGAAGGAAAAGGGGAATGAAAGAAGCAACAGGCACAGGGGGAACAGGTAGAACCATCTAAGTGTCCAAGCCTTGTGGGTGATCTTCTGAACCTCGGAGGGTGCAAAGATGCCTCAAAACATGAGGGATGGGGATGTGGGGGTGTGAAAGCAGCACCTATTGGAAAACACTTGCCTCCAGCACCATCCCAGAACCACATTCCCTGATGGATTCTCTCCAGTCAGGCTGTGGGTACCTGATGTTAGCCTTAGAAGCTCGTCACCGTGTCAGCAGCACGCAGACCTCTCCTCAAAGCTGCTCCACGAAGGAGCTCTGCCATTCCCCTGGAAAGGAGGGTGGTTTTCCACTTCCCTGGAGCGCGTGGGATGGGGAAGCAGCAAGCAGCCACCGGCAAAACCAGCCTGGAGATGCAGACAGAGCCCTGGCCCTGCCCTGGCACAGCCAGACCCTCAGGACACCGTTACCTTCCACAGATCTTCCTTCAAGAAGGAGACCTTCCCGTGGTACCCGGCCCTCCAGGCGCGGTAGTTGGCGAGACACAGCAGCCAGGGATTGAGCTCATAGCCCAGGGCTGGCCTCAGGCCCTGCTTGTAAGCCTCGACCACCTGGAGAGGGAAGAGAGTCGAAACGCAAAGGATCCCAGTGTTGAGTCTGGGGGTGATCTGAGGGGACAGGGGCTGTTGCCCAGCTCCACTCCCTCCCTCCAGCTGGCTCACGGGCAGGGTGACCTTGGTTCTCAGCACCTTCCAGAGCATGCATTCCCACCCTGCTCCCCGCATGTGATGCCTTCTAGGGCTGTCTAGGACCACATACAACTATCTAGGGCCACCTAGGACCACCTAAGACCACCTAGGGCCATCTAGGACTATCTAGGACCACCTAGGACAGTCGAGGACTATATAGGTGTATTTAGGACCACCTAGAGCTGTCTATGGCCACTTAGGACCATGTAGGGTCATCTAGGACCACCTAGGACCATTTAGGACCACCTAGCTCTGTCTTGGGACCATCCAGAACCACCCAGGACCCTCCGGGACCCCCTATAATTGTCCCATACCACCGCCAGGAGGACCACCCCGACCCACAGCCAGCAGTGGGGCAGCAGGTGCGTGTGGGTCTCCCATCCACCCTCCCGGTGAGCACAGGCCCCCCTCCCTGCCCTCTTGCCCACCCTGGGCACCCCAAAGCCCCCCTGACACCCTCCCACCATTCCAGCCCTTACGAGCCGTCCATCTCCCGATCCCAGATCCACCGTCTTCCCCGCGCGTCCCCGCAGCAGTGCCAGGGCGTTGGCCACTTGCCGGGGGCTGGAGGGCTGGTAGGGCACCTGGGGGGCACAGGGGGGTCAGGGTGGGGGTCAGGGTGCGGGGGTCGGCGACGGGGGCCGGGGGGTGTCGGGGTACCTGCAGCCGCAGGGGGACGCGGCGGAAGCCGGGCATCAGCACGAGCGCCCAGGTGGCCCAGGCGGCCGCCCCGCTGGCCACGGCCAGGGCCAGCAGCCCCCGCCCGCCCAGGGCCGCCCCGCCCCGCGCCCAGCCCGGCTCGCCCGGCTCGCCCGGCTCCCAGCCCGGCTCCCCCGGCTCCATGGCCGCCGGAAGGGGAGGAGAGCCCGGCCGGGCACCTTCCGCCGGGAGCGGCACCGGGAGCGGGGGGAACGGGGGGGCCCGGGGGGATCTGGGGGTGAGCGGGAGCTGCGTGTGCGGGGCGGGAGCGGCGGCGTCGCCCCCGCGGGGCTCGGGGGGCACAGGGGGGACAGCGCCGTGTGCGGAGTGAGCGGGGTGCGGGTGGTGCAGGGGCTGTGTGCGGTGTGCGAGTGTGTGTGCGAGTGTGTGTGTGTGTGTGTGTGTGTGTGAGTGTGTGTCTGAGTGTCTGTGTGTCTGTGTCTGTGTGTCTGTGTCTCTGTGTGTCTGTGTCTGTGTGTCTGTGTCTCTGTGTGTCTGTGTCTGTGTGTGTGTGTCTCTGTGTGTGTCTGTGTGTCTGTGTGTGTGTGTCTGCATTAGCGTGGCTGTGTGTGTTTGCACAGCTGTGTGTGCACAGCTCTGTGTGTTTGTGCACAGCTCTGTGTGTTTCTGCATGCCTGTGTTTATGCACAGCTCTGTGTGTGTATTTGTGCACAGCTCTGTGTTTGTGGAGAGCTGTGGGTGTGTTTGTGCATAGCTGGCTGTGCTTGGGCACAGCTCTGTGCACAGGTCTCTGTGTGTTTGGGCAGAGCTTTGTGTGTGTGTGCGGAGCTGTGTGAGTGCACAGCTGTGTGTTTGTGTGTGACTGTGTGTGTTTGCACAGCTCTGTGTGTGTTTGTGCACAGCCGTGTGTGTTTGTGCGTGGCTGTGCACGGCTGACCATGGTTGTGTGGGACTGTGCACAGCTGTGGGACTGTGCATGGCTGTGTGTGACTGCACAGTTTTGTGCAGCTGTGCACGGTCGTGCAGGGCTGTTTGCAGTTGTACTCGGGTGAGCACAGTTGTGTGAACATGAGCCAGCGTGTGCCCAGGTGGGCAAGAAGGCCAGTGGATCCTGGCCTGTATCAGGAACAGTGTGGCAGCAGGAGCAGGGAAGTGATTCTGCCCCTGGACTCAGCGCTGGTGAGGCCACCCCTGGAGTGCTGTGTCCAGCTCTGGGCCCTCAGCTCAGGAAGGACGTGGAGGGGCTGGAGCAGGTGCAGAGAAGGGCAATGAGGCTGGGGAAGGGTCTGGAGCACAAGTGCTGTGAGGAGAGGCTGAGGGAGCTGAGGGGCTCAGTCTGCAAAGGAGGAAGCTCAGGGGAGACTTTCTCACTCTCTACAACTCCCTGACAGGAGGGTGTAGCCCGGTGGGGGTTGGTCTCTTCTCCCAGGCCAGCAGCTGTAGGACAAGAGGGCACAGTCTTAAGCTGCACCAGGGGAGGTTTAGGTTGGACTTTAGGAAAAAATTCTACACAGAAAGGGTGATTGGGTATTGGAGTGGGCTGCCCAGGGTGGTGGTGGAGTCACAGTCCCTGGAGGTGTTGAAGAACTTAGTGCCATGGTCTAGTTGACAAGTTGGGTCGTAGGCTGGACTCGATGATCTCAGAGGTCTTTTCCAACCTCACTGATTCTGTGGTCCTGTGTGTGCAGTTGTGCCCAGCTGTGTGTGTGGCCGTGTGGCTGTGCACAGCTGTGTGCAGCTGTGTGTGGTTTTCCGTGGCCGTGAGCACTCGGGCGTGGTTCTGTGTGGCTGGGAGCAGCTGTGTCAGTTGTGTGCAGCAATGCAGGGCTCTGTGGCCGTGCACAGCTGTGTGTGTGATTGTGCAGGGCAGTGCATGGCTGTGTGTGGGTGAGGGTGTGTGTGATGTTGTGTGCGGTCGTGCAGTGGCTGTGGGTGGTTGTGCATGGCAGTGCCATCCGCGTGCAGCTGTGTGTGCTGTGCACAGCCACGCGTGGTCCTGTGCAGCTGTGTGTGGCTGTGCACCATTGTGCATGGCTGTGTGAGGCCGTGCACAGCTGTGCAGTTGTGCACAGTCAGGTGTAGGTTGTGCGTGGCTGAGTCAGTGCACGGGTTTGTGCGGCTGTGCACGGATGAACACGGCTGTTGTGAATGGCTGTGTGTGCTGTGCAG